AAACAGCAATAGAAATTCATGAAAAGAATTCCTCTTCATTGTTTGTCTCATGTCATTTTTACGGATCCACCCAACATCATATCAACGAGTTTAAGTACGACTTGCAAATAATAATTGCGACGCACAACGACCTGGAAATTCAAAAACAATTATCACACCACAAAACATGAATTAAGTAGTTGATAACGTTTTAGCTGATAGTCGTGCAGTATTGTACGACTTAGCATAAGTTCTTGTCGTTTCAACCGAATGAGGGCATTTCATTTTCCACAATGAATTGGTTATGAACGTTTTTTATTTTTTTTTTTTTTTATAAGATGAGTGCCGCGTTCGCTCACGCCAAAGCAAGCGGATATTCGAATTCTAGCATTTCTCTGCTTTGAGGATTTTGAGAGGAATGCAGTGTTTTCGTGACAAGGGATAGCCCACAAATTCATTATCATACATTGGAAACGAAACAGTAATCCAAACTATGCATTCGCTTGATAAACCGGCTCCAAAAAATAGAACGTATTGGCAGCTGATATAACGATGGCCTGTGTGTTAGGGTCCGATTTTTTTTTTATTTTTATGGACTGTCTCGAGAAAGGTAAATTCGTTTTAGGAGATCACTAAGCAATCTTTTATTTGAAGGGATTGATTCTGAACGTAGACGCACACTATTAGCTATTCACAAAAGTGAAAAAGGTGTCATTAAATTTGGATATATATTCACAACGAAGCGTAGAAAGATATAAGCTAATATACATTTTTGTCAATATGTATTGTATTGTCAGTATGTTTTATCAACGGTTATATGTTACTTAACATTCATTGAAGAACAATGTGGACAGAGAAGAAAAAATGTTTATAAAAAAATGTACAAAGTTTATCTAATATTCGTGGGCAATTTCAAGAACACGGTATCCTCTGCTTTACTCCATGTAGCAACAGGAAACGTTTTCTACTGGGGCAGCGGTGCCTGTGCGACCGGATGCACCGAAGTAACATTTTTCCTTCCGTGAATGGAGAAGCAACCTCGCGGCCCTTCTCAGCTGGGCGACACCACGGAGCAGGGCGCTGACGCCGCGGGGAGGGGGAAGGAGGAGGAGGGGGGAGTGGGGATGAGAGTTGGGGCTGCTGCCGCCGGGGGCGACGTGCTGAGTGACGGAGATTGTTGGCACCCTTTGATCTGCAGCCGGATGTTTGCTTCCACTTGTAAACTCCACGCGTCGGCAACGCGGAAAGGAAAAGACGGGGTCCCGGAACGGGCGAACTGAAGGGACTTGAAAGGGAAATGAAATTGTAGTGTAGTTTGGGTCATGAAAATCCTACGTGGTACATCAGTAAAGTCTTCTACTGGTTTACAAAGAAATCTGGGAAGAAGATGTTTCAACAGCTTGAAAAACAACACAAGTCCGCATTTGGCTATATTGAGTGATTCATACAATTGTGAATTTCAAGGATAAATACATCCATCATTTTACACTGCTCCCGTACAAATTTCTTGAATATCTTTGCCAATACGACCTTAAATATCACGTTTGTTTAAGAACCAACGGACGTGTGATATTTGTCAAACAAATTAATAATGGTATCGAATGCTTCCGTCAAGATTTAATAGGAAGATACACTTGGACGTCACCAGGTCGACGCATGTTGCAAGTTTGATGAACTAGTGCTAAAATAAGTATAGAATGAGCCAAAAAGGACTTTACAGCTTTTAAGACATAAGGAGGCCCTTTGAGAACACCTTTAGAACTGTTACAGGTGTCATTCTGTGACGGGACCTCAAGTTTGACATGGTACCAATTACTACTTTCAGTCTCCACAATCGCCAACGAAGTGAATTGTAGGTTCTTACCTACTTGGCGAGCGAGCTCTCTGTGTGTTTTGGTACCAAGAAACAAAATGCTAGAAAATGTCTTAATTTCACAGTTAGATAAAGATGAACGAGATGCAATTAGTCGTGCAGGACCAATTGCATGGCCATCTCTCTCCCTCGATTTGACACTTATGAATTTCTTTCTCTGGGTTTTCATTAAAGATCGGGTATATGTTTCGCCCTTACTAGATAATTTAGAAGTCTTTAAAGTCAAATCCACGCTGCCGTTGCAGAGGTTACGCCCGATATGCTGACATGAGTATGGGAATAAATTGATTTCCAATGGAACGTTTGCTATTAACAATGTCAGTCACATTGAACCAAAATAAGACGTTGATGGCAAACTTGAGACCTCTCACCACAATGTGAAACCAGTAATAATTTAGCAAATCATTTCAATACACCTTCATGTGCCTTCAAAGTTGTATAGTCCTTTCTGACTCTTTCAATCTAAGTGCTAAAATATTGGTAATAGTAAAACGTTCTGTTCATCAAATATACGCAGAAAAGTTGTTAATGAAAGTCATTACAGAATCGAATGAACATATTTTCGAAATTATTATTTTTATTTTAAAGTTCTTTCTTTACATTTTGAATATAGTTTTACGTTCACTTAAATTTCATTTTTATTTTTTAACATTTCAGTGGCTTCGGTAGAAAATGAAAGCAACCTCTTCTTTACAACCTCTTTTTGTACCTCCGAGTAAAAGGTCATGTACATGTTTGTGTATTTTTTTAATGTTCAAGGATTTTAATGGAACACGCAGATGAATACTCGTAGTACGTTTAAGAGCTTTGATATCTATCTGTACAAAAGGTTTAAAGAAAAAGTATGGTGTCGTTTTCTTCTAAAATGTTATTAAGGTACTTTTAGAAATACTTTGGCACAATTTGATTGAAAATTTGGCAAAAATTACTAATTTGTTAAATTGTATATGAAAGAATTTAAAGAATTTTTGAATGATTATAATTATAAATTTAAAATAAAATCGCACTTCTACCATTTTTTTAAGTGTTCTGCCAAAGCAATAAAATAAAATAAAAATGTGGATCAGTTATTTAGAATTTGTTTGAGAAGTTTTTGTAGTTGTAGATGCTATTCGTTCCAACAATTTTGCTATAATACTTTTATATATTAATTTTTTAATAATTTCTTTACTTATTCATTTTGATACAAACTATTTACTGAACTTGTAAAATAACAAGCCTCATTATTTTATCAGCACCCTTTTACCCGACCTTCTGATCAGTACAACTTGAAATGTCAATTCCGCTTTATAGTTTAGATAATTATGTAAAAATGCAGGCTTCGTTGACATGCTGTATTATTTATTGATTACTTTTGCAAATATTTCAGTTCACAGATTTCAAATGTATTCTTTCTAATAAAACATCTCAACGATTTCATATTGTAATTTTTATTTCCAGCGATGCGGCAGATTATATCTGAAACCTTGCCAGGTATAACATAAGCAGAAGTAAACAAGGAGGAAGTGCCTTGTAAATATAAATGATTCGAACCAAGGGATTGCATTAAATTGAAAGCATGATTCGTGTGAAGGCACGTGTTCAAAAAGAGATCTTATTTTCCTCCCAATGTAACTGAACTTTGTGAAACAACTGTCACGTTTCCATCGTGTATTTACATACTCCACTTTTACTTCATGAACGGAGAAAGTAGAAAGGAACAGATTCACACAATTTATCGCACGTTACTAGCGAGAACGTAATTGCTAGGGAAAGGAAACACAAAATCGGAAATCTTTGCAAAGCAAAGGAATTACAGCGTGACAGAGAAAAGGGCAACATCACAATGGATGTTACCACTTGAGGGAGAAACTTGTAATTAAATGAAACTCAAAAGAGACCTCTTTGCCTTTCCTGCAATGAATTTTAACCCTGAGTTTTAGCACTATTTATATAGTACTATTTTTTTGTTAATTGCATTATGTTAATTCTAAAGGTAACAAGTGAGAATGTGGAATTGTCAAAAACATTTCAACGATATACTTCTCCTCCTGTCAGTTCAATATGTGTTTGAAGAGAGTCTGAATTATTTCTCCATTTTATATATTTAAATGAAATAATTTTAAAACTTAACGTCATATTCATTGTATTCAAAGTGTTACGAATCATTTTTACACATTTCTCTGGTGCAATAAAAGGGCAGTACTAAGCACAGCATGTAACAATATTTAGTTAATAATTCACTCATTCAATTTATTTTCTTGTTACCTTTAAACTTATTATTATTATTATTATTATTATTAAACTAAATCTTTACATTCGATAATGCGAAACATGCTTTTACTTTCACATATTTAAAATAAGTTTCGATCCGATAAAATCCGCCTCGTTAATAGTAATCTTAAATTAATGTACATAGGACCATTCAGAAACAAGTAAATGTAAGGTATACTTCACATTAATATTCAAAGGATGACTTATGTAAATAATATCATAGGCATGCTGATCTCATTTTTGTACCTCCTGAATCGAAAGGTGTATCTCACTCAGTTGTAGCTGCTGATAACTTTCCAAATGATCCCTAAGCTGAAGGATTAGGAAAAATCCAATTAATTTCAATTAATTTATATTAATTTATTAGAAAATAAAAAATCAGACATTCTCATTATTTTCTTTTCTACGAAACAATGAGCAAGATTCATGATCATTAGGAAGTTGCATTCGGAAGTTTGAACTTCATAACTGAACGAGTTTGGCCCAATTGAACCAAGATGAATTTGAAGTTGTGTCAAGGAAGACATTTATATCGGTTATAAAATACCGGGGAAACACATTGAAACAAAGCAGGTCACAGAACAACACAATACGTGAGTAACACTTCTCATATCACTGCCCACCATCAACAGAAGTAAATTTCCCAACAACAAGCCTACACACTTCGAACGTCCAACCAACAATAGTGACCTTTGCTGGTCGGCAACCCTAACAAGACTAATGAGCTATTCAGCAGCGTCAACAGAGCGTCAAGCCCACGCGATCGGCACGCCGCTTGTCGCGCCGGTGGCCGGCCGGCGCCGGGGCGACACCTCGCGAGACATTTCACGGCGCCGCGGCGCGGGGCGTCCGAAACGACAGCCGCCACAGACGCGTCGCGTCGCTCGGCCCTTACCTGCGTCCGCCGTCGGTCGTGACCCCGAAGTCCGCTCTCGCCCGCCTTCCTGCCTGGAGGAACTAAAAATGCGGGGTAATTCACCGTTTACATTGCATGGCAAGGGCGCCGCGGCCGGCGTCGGCGGAGGCGGCGGGGAGGGGGAAGAACAGCGAGGGGTAAAATTAGCCCAAGCGCCGGCCGACGCGCCGGCTTAGATTTCGACGGCCGCGCCTCGCCTCGCGCCGGCGTTGGCCGCCCGCCGGTCACGTGGGCGCCGGCCACCGCCGGCCATTGGGCGCGACGCGCGCGCAAGGTGTTAATTCCGACGCTTGTCGAGGTTGGGGGCGAGGTGTTGTTGGCCCGGGAGGCGACCTGCGGGCGGCGGTGGGCGAGAGCGGCGTTTGATGGAGGCGGCGCCGTCTGGGGCGACCGCGGGGGTGGCTAAGGCGGCTTCCGTCAAACTACGCGGAACTATTACGCCAAATATTTTACGCTTTCGACGTAGATTTCGTCCTACTCACCTGTTTTTGCAATGGATTAATTCTCAATAATTTCTAGAATATTGTTTCCCTTCCCAAGAGCGCTAACAGATTCCAGATTCCAAACCCCGCTTCAGGATCCTTCATAACTGAACTAGAGACTAAGTAGTCAGGAAGAGAGTGCTGCTACAGTCGTCATCTAACCAATCGTCTCTCAGCTAAGAAATGATAATTGATGCTATCAAAAAAAACACATTTGTTTGTTTTGCTCCATAAAATGAAATCGCAATATTCCCTAATTACTATATTAATTAGTAATATTGTGTCTAGAAGTGCATTGCAGGTCTCTATTCCACCATGCCGGCAAACATTCTGACATTTTATGTGATTACGTGTATATGGCTGTCAATGGGGTTCCCTTGGGCAGGGAAACGTAGGTATGCAACCCGTAAAACCCCCCTGTACGAAGCGCACTGCTCAACATCTTCGTTCCTTGCGTCTTTGAAATTTGCCATTGAATAACAATTTTCGAATTATGAAATATCGCAATTGAACGTGTGAATGTGTACAACTGTAAGTTGTTGTGATTATCTTGGATATTGGATCAGGAATCGGGAATCACGATCGGTGGAAAAAATGGTGAAGTTTAATTATTCTCATCCTGAATCCTTCGAAACCTTGAAAATATTCATTATTCATAACAAGAATACTCTTTTAATAATGTTAATTACTACGAAGCACCTACTTCTAAGCAAAAAATAGGTTATTTTCAATATTTGTAAAATGGAAATCAGATACATAGTCTAAAAATCTTGAGTTTAGTAACTACATACGTACTATAATGCTTTGCATTATTTTTTTGTGCGTACAGAAGTAATTTAAATATGTGATGTTATACACACGTTATCCAATTAATCTCATTTTCACATCAACGCGAAAGTTGTTCTAGAACTATGACTTTGGAGTTCGAATTTCGCCTTTTCGACCGGATAGGTGTATGGCTACAGTTTTGAGAATTTTCCTCTCTAAACACATGGCTCAAAACGGGGACTTCGTTTAGGTTAGTCGCAAAATGACATGCGGGTCCGTAACGTGACGCAGGGTGCCTCATGGCGGATTACTGCGAACCATTATACTTATTGGACCCGCGCATGTTAGAACGCAGGGTGACATGCCGCGTCTGTGCGCGGTGACCCTACGGAACGCAGTGTCTTGCACTCAGTATTCTGCGAAGAATAACCGTGACTTTTCTGAAAATGGACGAAAAACTGGTTGAAGTCGTGAGTTTTCGTAAGTTTCTTTATGACAAAACCTTGTTGATGTGTTTTACAAACCGTGGAAACTACAAACTCGTATAATTCATCAGTTTCAAGAAGCTTGAAGCTATTTTTAAAAATAGCTTATTATTAACTAATATTTAAAGAAACAATAACGTCTCAAATTTTACTGTTTCAAATATTTTGCTGAAAGTGTAGAAATATGCAGTAACCTTCAGATATGCGAAAATTTGTCAAATAAAATTTGACAGGAAAGCTCCAAATGAGCTGATTCGTAAAGAAATTATAATTTACTAAGAAAGCATTAACAAAAAAGATATGCATTTGCATACAAATCCGGGCTCTATTGATAACAAAAATACTATAAAATAAATAGATTTTCTTTTAAAACACTACTAGTTTTCCTCGGTTCCAGTGAGTCTTGTGGCATTGCAGTCTCCTCTACAAATTTCATTATCGAGATCATACTCTTATTTGAACTGATCGCGGTTTAATCAATAATAGTTCTGAAAATTGCCATCATCAAATTCCTTAGAGCAAATACTCCATGTGTTTCTCTTTTCTTCATGTAATCGCTTCTTTCTTCTTTTTGCTCCAACAGAACGGCGCAACATGACGTTTTTAACTCTAACTCGCTTTCGGAATCCGATTCAGACATCCCAAATTCACTAACATCGCGGAAATACTCGACATTTGCGTCAGTGCTCGTACTGGAGTGAACTGCGGCCCATCTTGCGGTGATCGCTGCTGTGACTCATTCTGCCGTGAGGAATTCGGGGTAAGTCATGCTGCGTCACGTCACACCAGCGTCTCATTTTACAACTAGCTCCACAGTACCCCTTCTTGGAAATTCAACTCAGATTGCGTCGCGCACTGCAAACGATGCGGTCAGGAAAGTGGGCAAAAGGCATGCTTTGCAGCAGGAATCCGCCCGTTCCCCATTCAAACTTCTAAGGCAATCCCACACATGTCTGGTTGGAACGCTTCTGGTTATTCAGCAATTTTTCGAAGATCAAAGAGGAATCTACAGAAAGCGCTCAAAAGAAAGACATTACATACACTGTAAGCCTATATATATATATATTCTATTGAGACAAATAATTAATAATTAATAAAAGGATAAAAAAATTTAAAAGATTCAAAACTATATATCAGGTGACCACAAAATAGAGATTCTTTGGTATTTCCATTAATATTCCTTGACTATTGCCTTGGGGACTTTCGTTTTCCTGACATTATTTCTTTCAATATCGACGAGTTTTGTAACGTGTTTAGATTTTATGATCTTTTTTATTGAAAGTAGAAATAACTAACGTTATTATTCCTTTCCCTCGACAGTTGAGACACAGTTCGTGAGCATCTAACGTTTGGAAAGAGACTTCACTTCCGCTCAAATTCTTCCTTTTGAATCAGACCCAAGACTCAAGAAAACTAATTGGATCAAGACAACAAATTTACCCTTACAATAATAATAAAAAACATGCGAGCATTATTAACCGAGTTTAATTATCTCAAGGAATCCTTTCTTGTACATAAAATGATAAATTATCTGAATTTCTTCATTTCTTCCATTGTGAGTACCTGAGGACACCACGCTAGGAATCACAGTCCACTCATTAAATAATATTCTCAGACGAAATCCAGTTAAGAGAGGCGAGCTATACTGGTCAAATATTGACGTGAGGATATCGAAGCACTCGTATCTGCATAACATCCATAAATGTGATTTACAGTGATCATGGAGTCGCGGTATTGAAAGATTGTATTGTATTGTAATGAATCCAAAATTACAGCATAGTATCAATAGATACTCTTTGCATTAAAATCAGTCACGTGAGAACCGGATTAAGGTCATGGTGGGATGCTTCCTTCTTTTCCATGAACTTGTTTCCCTGTATTTCATGTTCGTTTCCACTCGCAACACTCATACTAGAGCAGTCTCTGACAAATTTACGAATACACTGAGGCGAGAACACTGAAAAAATTAAATGTTTCAAGCACTCTCCACATTAATCCCAGAGTACATAGAACTCTGAAAATATGTTAAACTATGCCTTGAATCCTTGTAAACAATTAAACTGACTTGAAAAAAGAATGGAACAATTTATGGAGTGATATTCTAAACATATTTCCACCTTTTAGCTGAGGGGAGACTGAACAGATAAAATCATTATGTCCATCTTCCATTCGGTCTTTGGGATATTTCCATTTGAATTCGGATACACCACCTCCTCCTCTTACTCCTCCCTCTCCTTTCCTTTCTTCCTCCGATGTCGGCATATACGAATAAAAAACTTAGATTTTCGTGCACTCATACAGAGTGAGTATACAGAGAGAGTGTATGGAGCAGGGCGAGGGAGATAACTCGGACCTGATCAGGGAGACAGAGTGTGGAAGAAAGGACAGCGCGGGTTCGTGGGCTATTTTGTAAGGAACTACTTAACAATCACTTGAAAATCAATCGGAGAAAGCCTCGAAAACGACCAATCTAAAAAAAAACACCGATATTTGGTAGATAAAATCTGCCAAACTCTGACTCGGACTAGAACTTCAACTGTTATTTTCATCTCTAAACGAACTTGTTTATCTATTTTTATACTAAAAAAGCCGAAATTATCCTGTCAACGCTTGTTTGGGCTCTGTGATGTAGTCATCATATCAAACTACAGGAGATAAAGATTTTCAGCACTGTCTCATTTTCATATTCTCAAATACACGCTGGTTATTAAGCAAATAGACTAGCAGGCTGTCTCACCACTCGAATGGCAAAATCAAATCTCTAAGAAAAAGTCACTAAATAGAATATATGAGGGCAAGTATTAGCCACAGTATTGCATATGCAGCTGAAACGAGAGCAGACTCAAAAAAAAAAAAATATGCCAAATGTTGGAAGTTTTCGGAAATGCGGGTGCTGAAAAATTACAAATAAAACGATAAGGCATAAAGAACCTAATATTAATATAAGACCAGACTTGCCAAATAGATATAATCTCAGCTGGGTTCGAGAAAGAAGCAAGAATGGAACCGAACATACTAGACAGAACTGGAAGAAGACAGACTGGTGAAAGTGACTAGAGACAGAAAGAGCGGAAGGAAGGAGAAGAGTAGGATGTCCAAAGGAACTAGGTGGAAAACCATTTTGTAAAACAAGATAGCTGAATATACGTGCCAATTTATAATATATGACTAACTAAATGTAATCTATCAGGCGTTTTTTAAATTTTAATTAAGTAACCTTTGTAAGGAAACAGGCTCTAGCCTAAAATAAAGTAAGGAAGAAGAAGAAGAAGGAGAAGAA